AGGTGTATGTGGCTGGCACCTTAGCCGCTTGAGCCACAGGTGCTGAGCCATCTTTTTTTTTTTTTTTAAGAGAGAATCTTAAGCTGTCACCCTGGGTAGAGTGCTGTGGTGTCATAGCTCACAGCAACCTCCAGCTCTTGGGCTGAAGAGATCCTCTTGTCTCACTTTTTCTATTTTTAGCAGTGTTCAACTAGCAGTTTTTGCTCACGCTAGTCTCAAACTCGTGGACTCTAGCAAATCCACCTGCCTCAGTTTCCCAGAGTGTTAGCATTTTGGACGTGAGCCACTGTGCCCCATTTATTTTAAATATCTTCTTAAGGAAAACTGTGTCAGAATGTGTTGTCCAAAATGCCTTTTTAGTTTTTAAAGATGGAACTCCACCCTTGGCTTGCTTTGGAGGATGTATGGAATGTTATGATAGGACATAGGAGTAGTAGTAGTCAGACTTGGAAATGGTAGGGAAACAAAAATATACGTGTGAAATAAACTTAGCATTTTAACAATAAAAAGGAAAACTATGTTATATTGGTACTAAAATACTGGTATCTTGTGGCATAGAGTATGAGATAAAAGGATGGATAGAAGAAAGAAGTTCCTATACCATCAAATTCGTCTTCTGTACATCATAAGAAATCATTTCACATTCAACTGTGTACTCATACTTTTTCTTATTCTGTTAAATGATAGTATTTCTTGAGTGACCTTTGTCAAATGAGAATATTAATGCCCTTTCCTACCCAGCTATTTTTCTTATTTCTTTTTTTCCCATATATTTACATATTGATAGCATTGATAAAATTTTCTGTCCTGTGACTGTTAATGTCTTCTTTGGCTAAAGAATAATTTGAAAGTTGGAAATGAACAAAGCATTTTATTGTAACTTATGAGAACAGAGAACAGTGCTGCCCAGCTTTTTTGCCCTGGAATTTCTTTTTTTTTTGGAAGAGACAGTTTCACTTTACTACCCTTGGTAGTGCCGTGGCGTCACACAGCTCACAGCAACCTCCAACTCCTGGGCTTAAGTGATTCTCTTGCTTCAGCCTTTTGAGTAGCTGGGACTGTAGGCACTTGCCACAACGCCCAGCTATTGTTTGGTTGCAGTTCAGCCAGAACCAGGTTTGAACCAGCCATCCTTGGTATATGGGGCCGGCACCCGACTCACAGCTACGGGCACCGCCCTGCCCTGGAATTTCTGATTCCTTTTTTCCCCTTGCATTCCTTCCCCACCCCACCTCCTATCTCCCACGGAGTGTCCTCTCCCTCTGTCACTGAAGCCAGAGTACAGAGGCATCATCACAGCTCACTGCAACCTCAAACTCCTGGACTGAGGTAATCCTCTTGCCTCAGCCTCCCAAGTAGTTGGGACTACACGTTGGCTCTACTGCACTGACTGATTTTTTTTTTTTTGTACTTTATGTAGAAACAGGCATCTTGCTGTCCTGCTTGCTTTGATCTTGAACTTCTTTTTTTTTTTTTTTAACCAGTTTTTGGCTGGGGCTGGGTTTGAACCCACCACCTTCGGCATTCGGCATGTGGGGCCGGCGCCCTACTCTTTTGAGCCACAGGTGCTGCCCTGATCTTGAACTTCTTATGTCAAGCAATTCTCAGACCTTGGCTCCTAGAGTTCTAGCATTACAGGTGTGAGCCACTGTGCCTAGCCTGACTTTCATAACTGTTTCAAATTTTTGAGGATGGTATCACAGTATTTTGATTACCCCAGATACCTGTCCTGACCATCTGTCTCCTGTGGCAGTATGAACGCTAATTAGTCTGTAGACCTGGGGTATCTAACATTTTTTCTCCTTCTACCCGACATAGGAAGAATAAGAGTTGTTTTGGGCCACACAGTAAATACCCAAACACTAAAGAAAGCTTATTAGTAAAAAAAAAAAAAAAAAAAGGTCAACACCACAGGCAAGCAAAAAAAATTCCTCACACAATCAGCATGTGGACCCACAGTTTGGACACCCCTGCAGACATTCAGCATTGCCCTAGGATATTACCTTCAGATATATTCCGTGAGTGCTGCTGTGTCCTATATGCAGGTTTTTTTCTTTACTAAATTTTCTAGAATGTATCTTCAAGTGAAATATGTGAGAAGTAAACTTGGAAATGTATTCAGACCTTTGAAAAATATTTACAGGTCTGAAAATATCTATAAAGGATACTGAAAAAATGTATACACATTTTAAGAAGGGAAAAAAACTATATTAGACTCAAGAAGCTGGGGCACTAGCCACATATACCAGAGCTGGTGAGTTCGAATCCAGCCCAGGCCTGCCAAACAACAATGACAACTACGACGAAAAAATAGCCTGGTGTTGTGGTGGGTGCTTGCAGTCCCAGCTGCTTGGGAGGCTGGAGCAAGAGAATTGCTTAAGCCCAGGAGTTTGAGGTTGCTGTGAGCGGTGACACCACGGCTCTGTCTCAAAAAAAAAAAAAACTATATTAAAATTACAATACTCAAGGCATGTTTGATTGCTGCAATCACAAGAGACACTAAATACAATGTAAAAGATAACAAACATTATCAGTACATATATTATTATAATTTTAGTGCAGTTTTTCCTTACTTAAAATATGTGTATGTCCTCTGTATATTCATTCTTTGCTATGTAATGTTACTGAATTATGGTATGAAAATAATTTATATGTTTATAACTTTCACTATGTTCTTTCTTACATTAACCATTGTTAATGGTCTATTGCCTTATGTTTCTTATCTAGTTCCCTAACTATTACACACATTTAATATTGTTCCTTTGTCCTTAACTTTCACAGCATTTTGCTTAGACTTTTTCTATCATAATGCTTGTGTCTTTCAGCTGTGTTTTTTTTTTTCTTTTTTTAATTTCAGAATATTATGGGGTACATGGTTTTGGTTACATAATTTTCTTTGTATGGATGGGATCAAAGTCATAAGCATACCCTTCACCCAGATACTGTGTATTGTATGTGTTAGGTGTGAATGTAGCCTCTTCTACTCCACTTTATTTTTGTTGAGTTTAGTTCATATGTGCACGTAAGTGTGGTTGATTAGTCTCGATTTAGTATTCAATACATGTGTTTGCTTTGTGTTTCTCCTTTCTAGGGGATTATATTTGTTGTCTTCTAAATGTTTCTGGATTTTTGTATTTAATTCATAAAACTAATTCTTGATCTATGTGTTTAGTTTCATCAGAGGCATACTCTAATATTTTGGCCCTCTTGTTGAGTATCAGGGATTAGAAGGATGTCAATATGTAGTTTTGTATATAGACTTAGCATTAATTCTTCCCTTCTATTTTCAGTCCCTCTTCAACAGATCTGCTATTTTAAAGTGTCCATCCTTTCTGGGATTCTCTAGGCTAGATATGCTCTATTTAACTTGAAGAATGGGAGGGCTGAGGCTCTGACCCTTGCATAGT